ATATCTTCTCCCTGACCTCCAATTAATTGAAAAGATTTGATTTTATCGTTGCATAGACATTGGCCTTTCCCAAGTTACAGAAAAAACTACAACCTAAAACCTTTATATTTTACATCTTTAGTAGCCTTTGCATATAGAAGACTGTAAAATTGAATGAATGTGGAGACCCAAAAAAAAGCACATCATGATGATTGTGATCATAGTAAGATTATGGTTGACTAATGGATGAACATGAGTAAATCTTCAGTTGACTGAAGATGGAGACCAAAATCCCTCTTACTTTAATAAAAATGTTCCCCAGAGAATGGCTGAAGCACATTTGTGGAGATGATTGTATAATGGAAAACTGATTTTCAGGTTCAGAGCAAGAGCAGGAGAACTTGCTGCCAGTACAGCAATATTGATGACTTCTTGGGGAAAAAATGATGTTTTAATTTTCATATCTTTACAGAGAAGAAAAATTATTCTAAATCATGCTTACATTTTATTAGTGAAGGACTGTGTATAAGGCAGTTCAGTGTTCATTCAGCCTCTAATGCCCGAAACTATAGCCCCTTTCAGTTAGCTAAACAGTTTCTGTAAAAGAGAAAAATGTGTTTTAATCTTTCATCAGAGCAATATTTTAAAATTGTCCATCTGTTTTTCCCCAAAAAAGTATCCGAAGAAGAGTTCAGTGAAATGTCATGTTGTGTTTGTTACATTTAGCAAAACAACAGGCAAACAGGTACCTGGATGTACCTCGGACATTCAGTAGCATTCTAGTGATTGATATATCCCTGTTAACGTCAAATCTCTTGTTATTGTCATGTTTTTTTATAATATAACTATTACAAAATGTCAAAAGTAGGATATGCTTTTGAAAAATAATTACTTTATAAAATGGCAGAGCTGTAAAAAATCATCATAGCTTCTGCTTACAAAAATTACTATGTTTTGAGAGCTAGCGGGGCAATTTATGTCTTGTACAGGTTTAATGAAGTGACTTTACTGCACTCAAAGGGTGGAGATATATTCTAGAGGTCAACAAAAAATCATTGAGAAATAAAAAATTGGACAAGAGGAATTTTAAAGTGACCTTGAATGACTAAGTTGATTTATATGACTCCTGAATCACTGACATTTGTAGAACTCAGCAGTAAGGAAACCTGCAGATGTGTTGTTGTCTTGCATCTACCAGTGGGTGTTGCAATAGATGTAACAGTGAAGGGGGGTTTAAAAGATGGAAATGGGGAAAAATTAGGAACTGACAAATGAACCAATTAAATATAATTGTTTACAAATAAGTTACACAAAATGTAAATCAAAACTGTTAATGACCATTGTGGTGGCTCAGTGGGTAGTGGAATGAACTGCCCCTCAGGAGATTGGAATCTAAGACCATCCTCAGGATACTAGTATCCTCAGTTAGGGGAGGCTGAATGGTGTTTTAATTTGGTGTGGTGGGAACATTATTAAAACCCAGGCTCAAATATCTGCTGTTGCTTACCACTGAAACAGAAAACAAAATATAACTTCCATAATTACAGAAGAGCTGATTTCTCTATTGTTTTTTAATCATGGGACTTTTTCTGTTTGCAGAATGAAGAGTAAATAGCCAGTGTAGATTACTATTTCTCTGGATCCTGGGAATAGCTATTTAGCAATATTTATTCATATTGATTTGGCTCATCATATGTTAACTGGTGAATAACACACACAGAACATCCTTTGCTTGTGGGGTGTTTCTTGCTTGCTATTTTCCTATTCATGAGTAAAATCAATAAACTGTAATAGACCCCATCTTTCACTAGGGTTGCCAACTTTCTAACTGCACAAAACCAAACACCCTTGCCCCGCCACCCTTCCCTGCCCCAGCCCCAAGGTCCTGCCCTCTGCCATGCCCCTTCTCTGAGGCTCCGCCCCCGCTCACTTCATCCCCCACCCTCTGGTGCTCGCTCATTTTCACGACTGGGACAGGGGGTTGGGGTGCAGGACGGGATGAGGGTGTTGGCTGCGGGTGTGTGAGGGGGCTCTGGGCTGAGGCAGGGGGTTGGGGTGTGGGAGGGGGTATGGGCTCTGGGGTGGGGGTGTGGGCTATGGGGTGGTGCCAAAAATTAGGGGTTCAGGGTGAGGCTGGGGCAGGGGGTTGGAGTGCGGGGAGGGGTGTGAGGGCTGAGGCTGTGGGCTCTGGGGTGGGGCTGTGAATGAGGGGTTTGGGATGCAGGAGGGGGCTCCAGGCTGGGGCCGAGGGGTTCAGATTACGGTAGGGGGTTCCGAGCTGAGGCAGGTTGTTGAGGTGCAGGAGGGGTTTGGGGTGTGGGTTCCAGGAGGGAGTTTGGGTGCGGGAGGGGGCTTGGGGCTGGGGCAGGGGATTGGGGTGTGGGAGGGGTTTTGGGGTGGGGGCTCCAGGCAGCACTCACCTCCGGCGGCTCCCCGCAAGCAGCAACATGTTCCTCAGCTCTTAGGCAGAGGTGCGGCCAGGCGGCTCTGCATGCTGCCTCAGTCTGCAGGCACCACCCCCGCAGCTCCCATTGGCTGAGAACTGTGGCCAATGGGAGCTGCAGAGCTGGCGCTCGGGGTGGGGGCAACGTACTGAGTCCCCATGGCCGTCCCTATGCATAGGATCCAGAGGGACATGTCGCCGCTTCTTGGGAGCCACGCGGAGCCAGGTGGGGAGCCTGCCAGCCCCGCGCCAACTGGACTTTTAATGGCCTGACCGGAGCTGCCAGGGTCCTTTTTCGACCGGGCAGTCCAGTTGAAAACCGGACACCTGGCAACCCTATCTTCCACGCTTCTCTTCATTGGCAAATATACTGTCTAGGTGTGTCACAACCCTGATCAAACTTTCCCTTCTGGATACTCACCAGGCTGCTGTGTTGGGTCATATAACTGGATATCTGTGCTTTTAAGATTTCCTGAGACTGAGAAGAGTCCAGACACTACCTATGGTTCTGAATTTCTAGGCTCACTCTTAGAATGCAGATCTTCCATCTAGCACCATCTTCTGGCTAAACTGAGACCCTGCAGTCCAACTGCCTATGCTCTGAGACTAGTTTTGGTTACCCCAGACTCCCCATTTGCAGATGCTCACCCTTTCCAAGACTGCCAGCCTTGTGGGCACTCTGGTTACAGTTTACCTCTTCAGGAACATATGATAATTGAAGCAGACAGACACAGACTTTGTAAAGGAGATTTCTAAAAACAATTAGTCTTTACTTAAACAGCACAAGTGAGACAAGAATCTAGACAAAATAAGAAACACCTGCATGTGAAACTTTGCCTTAGTTTCCTAACCACTCTGAGGTATCCAGGATCCCCTATCTAAACATGGGTTCTCCTTTGAAACACAGTCTCTTCTGCCTTTGTAGCCAGCTTCCTTCAGCCTGGGCTGGTCCCACAGTCAAAAAGGTCCCCTTTCCTATGAAAGCATGTCCTTTTCTTCTTTCCTACCCCAAGCGTTTTTAGTTTCTGTGAGGCCCTATGTTTCTGTGTTATTAAATGCTAGTACTAGAACCTGGTTTCTTTGTTTACCATGCTGGAGAAATTCCACTGCTCCAAACCATAGCACTCTGCAGAGAAAACCAATTTTCTCCAACGTATCTAGGATACAGTTACTCCTCTATTATATCTGGGCAAGCTCTACTGAAGGGCTGATAACAGTTGTTCTAGTTAAGAGACAGACATGCAGGTACCATTCCTTTCTCTTTAACACACGGGGGATGAGGCAAGGACACAGTACAGATCATCATAAGGCTTAAACACACAGTGACTTCATAATATCATAAGTAAGGCTATAATTCCACGGAGGTTGTGGAAGTAACAGAATCCATGACTTCCGCAGACCTCCATGACTTTAGCCTGCAGTAGCTGGGGTACCCGCACCTCCCAGAGTGGCAGGGGCCTCGGAGCTCCCTAGTCTCCGTGGGCATGGGGGTCCCCCTCAACTCCCTATCCCTGCGGGTGGTGGGGGATACCCAGCAGCTCCTCAGCAGCTGTCGCCAGCAGGGGAACCCCCCCCCCCGGAGCTCCCCAGACCCCGTCGGTGGCAGGGGACCCCTGAAGCTTCCCAGCCACCATCGGCAGGGGACCCCCGGCAGCTCCCCGGCCACCACCACCAGCGGCGGGGGAACCCCCAGAGCTCCCCAGCCGCCACGGGCGGGGGGATCCCCCGGAGCTCCCCAGCCGCCACGGGCGGGGGAACCCCCAGAGCTCCCCAGCCGCCACGGGCGGGGGGATCCCCCGGAGCCCCCCAGTTCTCGCGGGCAGCGGGAGATCCCCAGCAGCTCCCCAGCCTGGGGGGAGTGGGGAATCTCTCAGAGCTCCCCAGTGCCCAGGCAGCGGGGAATCTCTCGCAGCTCCCCAGCCACCACAGGCAGGGGTCCCTTCTAGCTCCCAGCCACAGCAGGGCGGGGTGCTGGACTCTTTCCCTCCTCGTTTTGTCATGGTTATTTTTAGTAAAAGTTAGGGAAAGGTCACGGCTTCCATGAATTTTTGTTTATTGCCCATGACCTGTCCCTGACTTTTACTAAAGATAGCCATGACAAAATCATAGCCTTAATCATAAGTTGTACATAGACAGATTCCCCAAATTGTCATAAGGTGCTTGTATAGATCCCCCAAAATTATATTACATATATTTCCCATAAGGAATAACCACAATGATGGGAATATATAGGATTGGAAGGAGGTAATACTGCTCCACTATAGCACTGTACTGTCTGCATATTTTCCTTTTACTGATTTTATTTCTTTGGGCCAGATTGTTCACAGCTGCTCCCCAACTAATGCAGGAAAGGATACAAGTAGCCCACACACCTTGCACTCCTGAACAATTGGCTGGCTAGCTGCACAAGGGGTTGCATTGCTACCTGCACTCCCTGAGGAGTAGCTCTGGGTGTTCTCTCTCTGGAGTGGTGTCTTAGAAGCACTGTGATGAGGGTTTGGTCCTTAAAGGCATAGCTGAGTCAGTTGCTAGCTTCCATCATTTTTCACAATGGTTTTATTCTTTGTGTGTCTCTCAGTTGTTTGAAACTCCCGAATGTGGAAATGGATATGTAGAAGCAGGAGAAGAATGCGATTGTGGTTTCCGAATGGTAAGTTTAAAATGTTCTTATGCACTGTTCCTGCAGCCCCTTCTCGCATTAATGTATTGAGCAAAAGTTATATGGATGTTAAAATGGGAAAAGAAAGAATTTTGTGTTGAATTTACGCTGCCTGTCTCGTGGGACAACTTTGATCAGAGAATTGTATTAGTCAACTTTCTGTAAAAGAGGGAGACTATTTTCCCTAATGAGAAAATATTTGTTTCTGCTACACTGTGTTATGCTCAATCTTACAAATACAGAAGAAACCTGTTGCCTTTCCTATATTCCCACTGCACCCCACCCCACACTTGGCTCAGAAAAGTGCCTCTTAAAGATGGTGTGGAACTGGCTGAACCTTGTGAGCAGTGGGGACCATGATGATGGGGCCTGGGTAAAACAGCATTACACCATGTATAAGTGCATAAAGAGAGAGGAGCAAGAAGCTGGGGCAGGGCAGAGTGGCATGCAGCTCCAGACAGAAGAGAGAACTCCTCCTCCTTGCCTCTAATCTGCCCTTGTTCTGGGTGTGGGCGTGGATATGGAGGGATTTTGGCTGTGGCCCTGAGATGGAGAAATGATGAAAGAGAGGGAAAGGAAGGGAGTTATATGAAGATCAAGCTGACCTAGAATAAAGGGGTTGGTAGGGTTCCCACTTGAGCTTGCTAATTATACTCCAAGGGTCTCTGTTCATTCCTGCTTGTAGTGAACTGTCTCTCTTGGTGCTTCAGGAACAGAACATGTTTCCAAAGCTTTTTCATCTGGGGCTGCACACATGCGCCCTCTATCTGTACTGAATGTTCAGTGCCTAAGACTATATTATGTAGTGCAGCCTCAGTTCCTTCTCCTCCACTCCAAAGTGCATTCAGGGAGCCTTTAGCTTTATCCAAGTCTGCACCTGCAGACCTTTATTTAGGCTCCTTTAGTTCTTTTGTAAATAATGGTATATATAGTTAGTTCTTTTAGGGGTTTTCCCGAGTGAGTGCAAACTGCCTCAATGGCTTACATGGGCATGGAGTCCATGCTGGAACCTCATCCTCAGACAGGTTTGAGAAGATATGCATTGTCTCTCTTGCTAGTCCCAAATCCAATATTTGGTTGCTGCTATAGAATTCTTTACACTGGTCTCCCTGCTAGTTTGATGTTTAAATAGCATAAAGGATTCTTTCATCTGGTTTATTTTCTAGTCAGTACAGGATTGAATCCTTTTCCTGATCATGATATACAGGATGGTGTGTTTGGATGGTTGAGAAGATTCATAGATCACTTGATGTATTTTCTTTAGGAATGCTATGAAAACTGCTGTAAGAAGTGCTCTCTCTCTAATGGAGCTCACTGTAGCGATGGACCCTGCTGTAACACATCCTGTCTTGTGAGTCTTATTATAGCATTTCTTTCTATTGACTCTCAGTCTTCCCTAGAACTAACGTCTAACCTGATATAGGTCAAATACTGGGTGACAGTGGGGGAAAATAGGCCACATATACTGAGTCCAAATGTTTTTAAGGAACATAACATGATTACTGACCTTCAGACAATGTGGCAGTAGATGGAATTATGTGTACGTTGCTATTGTTGATGCACACAATGTTATACCATACATCTGGATTTGATTAATTCCACCACCACGACATACATAACCAATCTTGGGAGTTAAAGATTTTTATCTAAATTTTCAAAATATTGTGCTGGTTTGGGTCACAAAACTTTCATTGACTTTGATATGGTTCATATATCTGAAACCTTGATCAATACTTTGAAAATGTTATTGAGATTAATGTTAAAACCAGATTACATTTATTTATCTATTTACTATATGGTTGAAAATAAATGCGTTATGGGTAGAACGACTTTTAAGCTGCTTGGTGTTTTGGGTGCAATGATCTAATAGTATGTAAAGTTGTAATGTGCACATCTCCTTTTCTTCAGCATGAAATAGCAAGTAATTGAATTTATACTTTTGGTAGCATTACTTGTCATCCAGCTGAAATCTCTGGAAGCACCACAGTACAGTATAATAGTTGCTACAATAGGTAGTGCAGGCTTTCTTCTCTGATGTAGTTTGCCAATAGAAGGTATTGAAGGGCATACTAAGCAGCCTCTCACTTGATTTTTCATTTTTAAATATTGTGATTTGTGGTCCAAAATTCTGGATTGCAAGTACTTTAGAAAAAAATAATTTAGATACTGGTCTCATTGTGATAATATTGGGCCACACTCTGGTATCCTGTTGTTTCATACACAGGACTTCAAATGAAGTCAGTGGGAATCTTGTGCGTAGCTTATGGCAGGATATGGTGAATTATTATTATACCTGGGAAATGTTATTAGAGACAGAGCAAACATGAGAATTCCTAAAGGATGTGGCTCAAACTGTTCCATGAGAACTAGAAGAGTTAGGTCTCTGAACATCACAGGAATATAACCTGCCTTTTGACTTGGGGCAGTTGATGCCATTTCTCAGATAACTATCTAAATGTAATTAAAAGACACAGGATGAGACTGGGTTGAGATATAGTATCTTTGTTGGTAAATATTAACAATATTTTTTTTTACTGTCTCATGCTGCCGGACTTTATTTTAGCCCCATTAAATTAAACATACACCTAATCTGTATAATGTAGAAGTAGATGTGCTGTTGATAAACCAATGGATAGGTGGGTTGGTTGTTTTGTTTAAAGTCTCAATATTTTCTTGGCAGAAATAAATCTTTATAGTTTTTCCCTTACGCATAGTGTGTTAATGGTATGAAAAATATTTCTAGCAGAGATGTATCACTGAAGAATACTTTTCAGATTACTGATGTGCACCACTTTCAGTTGAACCAGAAGCTAGCAGTGGGTTTTTTGCTGTTCCTAGATAATTCAGCATTCACTGAAGTGTGTGTGTGTGTGTGTGTGTGTGTGTTTACGCATATGTATGTACACAAGTATTACAAAATGTAGGTTCCTGAGTTAATCATACACTATTTCTGTACTGAAGGCTTCCTCTGGATATGTTTTGTTCTCTCTATTATTGTGTGGGATGTTGATACTGAGACTCGTTTGAAAATTGAGAAGTATGGCTTTGAAACATGAGGAATATTTCTAAACAAGAGTCTGGAATATGCCATTATATAATCTCAGTCCTAACGAATGTTTGTTGTTTTCTAGTTTTTCCCACGAGGCTATGACTGTCGATATGCAGTGAATGAGTGTGATATTACAGAGTACTGTACTGGCGACTCTGGTCAGGTATGTATACCTAAGCTCTCTGCATACGCTATTCAATTTTGTAATCTTTTTATCCCAATTAAATATATTGAGTAACAAGCTGATACTACATTTGCTCAAAATGACCAGTTCCCTCATTAGTTGTAAATATTAAAAATGTATTTTGTTTGAAGTATATTTGAAGAAGGTTTTTGTTCAAGTGATTAGCAAATGGCTGTTCTCAATTATTTAATAAGTATAAACTCTGTTACAAAAGGAGAAAGGAAAACTCATAAAACAATGCAAAGAACGAATGACACAAACCCCAGCAAAATATCTAAAAGTGATAAACAGGTTATGGGCAATAAGCACTTATTACAGATGCACAGTGTAGGTATGCATGTGTTAGCAGAAAGCAAAGCAATTGTTTAAGGAAAGCAAAAGGAAAGAAAGCAATTATAGTAGAAAATAAGGAAAGGAAAATAAAACCCGTTTATGTGCTGTGCTGAATGATTTGTTTCAGAACATAACTTATCAAAAGAAATAATGGCAGAGAGACTGTCTGCCTTTACTCAAACCCCATTGGCATTCCCTGGAGTTTAGTGAGGGCACAACTTAGCAAAAGTATCAAAGAAAAGTTATGCATGTAAAGCTATATTTCATTCTACCCACAATGGAGCCTTGACATTTCATATATTGACTCATCTCCTTAATTTCCATTAGATATATGCAATAAGAGTAGAATTTAACATGGTACTTCAAGGTTTATCAGGCAGTTAAAGCCATTAGCTGTTCATACCAGTATAATCAATATGCTATTTATGATTTTGGTCTGGGCTACTTAAACTGTACATGATTCAAAGGGAATCCTAGACACTTTGGCTATAGCAGTCTTGGCTGAAAACAAAAGAAAAGACGGAACTTTTATTCTTTACTGATTAAATGTATTTATCTTAAGAGCAAGCATTACAATTTCTGTTTAACAAAGAGCCAGAATTTCTCTGTAGTGGAGAATGAAAGCTGTCCTATCCTAGAGCACTTCTAGAGATGTAGATAGAACAGTGTGCTCAATTTCTTCTCCCTCTTTCCCCCCACACACTTCCAGTGAGCACCAAGAAAATAACAGAATAATGCCATAGGCATCTAGCATTTACATTGGCTCCCAAAACACTTTGGGTAAGATTATATCTGGTCCTGCAGAATGCACAAGTGGAAAGGCATTGTAGGCCAGTCAGATCTTTGCCGTTCCCTGAATACAAAGACTGTACAAGATTAATGCTGTCAACAGTGGCATCTCCAGAGTCTGTGGGGAGGGACATCCCCATCTATCCCTCAGAGCTAATGAGTGCAGAGTGGAGCTGAAATTCCAGCTGCCTCTTATCAGGTGGAAGAGATTAGTTTCAAAGAAAGGGTAGGGGAAAGAGTTTTGATCAGAGACTCTTTGGTTCATGAGAAAACTCCCTCCCCCATGTTTGTTTCTCTCCCCCTTTATATAGACTCTGTGTCCTCCCCATCTCCACCATGTTGTCTCTTTCTCCCATCCCATCCTGCATTGTTTCCTTGCTGGTGCTTCACTTGTTTATCAAAAATAGCAGTATGAAAGTAACTAATCTCCTCCTCTCTGACAACTAGCCTTTTTAGTTGCATTTACACTCTGCTTTTTCTACCAGTAGTATTAGAGTAAGCAACAACAGAAAACCAGCTTGAGAGTAGGTGGTTGGTGTTTAGATACTAAGGTAATGGGTGTTACAGAAAAACCTTAAAACCACCTTCCTGTTCTCACTTAAGAGGACATAGCCGGAATATCATGATGTTCTTTGGCACTCCAAATGTGTGCACCAAACAAAGAAGGATCCAAATCCAATTTAAAATAATTTTAGATCCAGTTCTACCACACACGCTCACTTTGAATAGTATGTTACTCTGCAAGTAGGTCCATTGTTTCTAGTGGACATACTTGCACAGTAACTCGTCTTCATCTTCCTTGATCTATCAGCTGCCATTAATGCCAGCCAAACTCTTCTTGAAATCTGGTCGTCTGTTGGCTTTCATGACTGTCCTCACATGGTTCTCCCACTGACTGTTGGATCACTCCTTTAGTTTCTAATTCAGTGGGTCCTCCTTCTCCCTCTCTCACCCTCTTTCTGTGGGGAGACCCTCTGGTTTGCATCCTTGTCAGGGCCGGCTCCAGGCACCAGTGAAGGAAGCAGGTGCTTGGGGCGGCCAATGGAGAGGGGCGGCACGTCCGGGTCTTTGGCAGCAATTCGGCGGCGGGTCCCTCAGTCCCTCTCGGAGAGAAGGACTTGCCGCCGAAGAATGAAGTGGCGCGGTTGAGCTGCCGCCGAAGTGCCGCCGATCACGTTCCCCCCCCCCCCCCTTTTTTTTTCTCTTCGCCGCTTGGGGCGGCAAAAAAGCTGGAGACAGCCCTGATCCTTGGTCCCCTCCTCTTCTCCCTATCCACCCTATCTCTGGGCAAATTTATCTGTAAACATGGCTTTTGACTACCATCTTTATGGTGATGACTCAGAAGTCTGCCTCTCTACTCTGGACCTCTTGCCCTACAATTAGACTAAAATCTTGGCCTGGCTTTCTCGTTGTGGGTGTCCAGTCATCAGCTGAAACTTAACATGGCCAAAACAGAGCTTTTAACTTTTCCCTGAAGCCCTTTCCTGCCCTTCCCTTTCTCTGTCATTGTGGACTTTCACCTTGTCTCTTGGTTTCATTTTTCGTTTGGGCCTCTTTCTCATTTGGCCCTGTTGCCTGCGGCCTCAAGTTAATTCAACATGCTATTCCTAAGATCATCTTCTTGGCTTGTCACTTGGACTACATTACCACCCTTTTTAAGTCCCACTATTGGCTCCGCTCTTCCATCACATCTAATGTAATTTCTTCTCCTAACTTTCCACTCTTTATCCCTGCCCTATCTATCCATCCTACTATCTTACTGCAAGGTCAACTCCTGCCTTCTCTTTGCCAGTGATTCCAGCCTTGATCGCCCTCTTGTCTGCTTTTCCCACAAGCACCTTTGCGCTTTCTTCCATGCCACTGCCTTGCATGGAAAAAGCTCCCAGTCAAAATCCTTAATCACCACGTTATCCTTCTTCAAGCCCCTTCTCAAAGCTCACCTCTGCCAAAATGTATAAAGCAAACTGCCATCTGGCAGTTGTGATTATTGCTAATATATGGCTAAGATTTGTGCACACATTGCTGGTCTGCACATGAAAATTAACCCAGAATAAGACAGGAAGTGAATTTAAAGTGGATTAACACTTCCAAAGCTTTAGAAGTGGATTAAGCTAATTTGGAATAAGGCATTCTTATTTCAGAATAAGAGTGTCCACACATCGAGTTAGTCAGGAATAGTTACCTCAGAGTAATTTCTCATGTAGATAAACCCTAAATCTGTATTAAAACATCCAGTTATTTTTTGTTACCCCATTTTCCTCCCAGCCTGCTTGTTTGTCTCATCCATCTGTTATGCCTGTCTCTCAGACTAAGCTCTGCAGGGTAGAGACTGTTAATTTATATATTTTTGTATGATGACTTACTCAATGGGGCCCTGTCATGGTTGAGGCCAGGGGTGGCCAACCTGAGCCTGAGAAGGAGCCAGAATTTACCAATGTACATTGCCAAAGAGCCACAGTAGTACGTCAGCAGCCCCCCATCAGCTCCCGCCCCCCTGCTTCCAGTGCCTCCCATCCACCGGCAACCCCACGATCAGCACCTTCCGTTCCCTCCCCGCACCTCCCAATCAGCTGTTTCGTGGCGTGCAGGAGGCTCTGGGGGGGAGGCGGGAGGAGTGAGGGCACGGCAGGCTCAGGGGAGGGGGCGGGAAGGGTGGAGTGGGGGCAGGGCCTGTGGCAGGGCCAGGGGTTGAGCAGTGAGCACCCCCCGGCACATTGGAAAGTTGGTGCCTGTAGCTCCAGCTCCGGAGTCGGTGCCTATACAAGGAGCCACATATTAACTTCTGAAGAGCCGCATGTGGCTCTGGATCCACAGGTTGGCCGCTCCTGATGTAGGCACTACCACAATATATATGTTAAACAATAATACTAACAAAGTAAGATACTATTTAATATGAGTCAGTGTGGCAGAATTGTGACCTACGTTTATGGTCAGCTCGTGTGAATGAAAAAAATAACCAAGTAACATGAGAAAAAGGAGAGCCCTGGAAAATTAATCTAACAGCATAAACAGATTGATGGCCAAAAATAAAGCTCAAGCAAGAAGAACACTGTCAAAGTCCAACTAAGAAAGTATGTGCATTTAATAGCAGAAATGTTTAAAAAGCCTGCACATTTTAGAAAAGTTAAGTAAAAAAGGCAAATGTGAACGATTAAACCAATATGAGAAATATAAGGAAAATGACATTTTTAAAAATGGACTCCCAAATTTTTCACTACAGACACTGAATAAATAGATAAATCGTTAAAAGAGGTTAGTCAAAATGGAGCCTCTGAGAAAAGTTAAATATGGACAAAACCGAAGCTTTGTTTCTGAAGAAAGTTATGAGCCATTCAGTTTGTGATGTTTGGAAGACATTGCTGAGTGTGCCTACAAATATTTAAATGGATAATGTCATCCTCTTTATGCCCCAGTATCTCACCTATTTTAAAATTGTTCTCCTTCAAGTGATCGTCCTTATGCCCGTCCCAGTGATGGTATGTATATACCTCATGTGAGGAAGATCAGAGCGCATGTCGGTGGAATGCGCATATAGACAGTCACTCAACAGAGAAAGGAAAGTTAATTACTGTATACAGTAACTGGAGTTCTTTGAGATGTTTGTCCATATGCATGTTCCACAACCTACCCTTCCAGCTTCTCTACATCCGAGTCCTCTTATATAGGATTCTGCAGTCAGAAGGAACCAAATGGCAGTGGGCGTGCTTTGCCCTATTATGGTCTTGCAGAAAAGCATGAGGACTGCAGAGCACACGTGCGCCCTATGCATACTGCTAGCCCCAAAGACTCGGATCTACTTCCTGAGGTGCATGCATAGCATCAGTGAAATGTGCATATGGACAACACATCTTGAATAACTCCAGTTACTGTACACAGTAATTAACTTTACTTTTAAACTAGTAAAAAATGTTCTCTGCACCAGAAAAAAATTTTGTGCTATTTTTAACAGATCCACCATTCTGTTATCAAAAACATTAAAGAGGAAAAGCTATTTGCCCTTAGTTTTTAATTGATTATACAAAATTACTGTAACGTGTACTTTTTGTGGACACTTGTTGCTCTGTAGCAACTATATCTAACAAATACTTGCGTACAAAAAAATGAACTGCATGACAATTTAGTGCATAGCCATTTCTGTTGATGTCTCCAACAATGTCATAAAATCAGTATACATACAGAAAAACCAAAATAGGCAGTTAGATTAGGGCTTGTTGTCTTGTGACAATGCGCAATCACTGCCAATTGGCAGATCCCAGGAGCTGGTCCCAGTAAGGGTTCAGGGCGCTGTGAAAGTAGTATGCTTACTATTTATTTATTTTTTAAGTCATTCTATCTCTGTCCCTTTGTTTCTTGTTCTACAGTTCCACCATTCACGGGACATCCCTGTGAAGCAGGTTTTCTAGTATGTATTAATGATAGGCAAGTTTTCACTGTTTTGATATCAGAACACACAGCTCTAAGAACTGGAAGTGGCTGGTTATCATATAATTCATATATATATGTAACTGTGTGACTGTTTATGGACTTACCACAGAAATATATGTAGCTATCTAAAGCTGCATTAGTATTTGGTTGATGTAAATTATTTCTAAATCACTCCTTATCTACATTGTGCAGTATTTCCATTTTTTCTTGTGTTCATCACTATTGCTGAGCATAACCATGAGAAATTGTTCTTTGTGTGATCTATATATTGGTGGCATCACTCGTCAGCCAGGCTCTTGTACAGCTAAATTCACACACTTCTACCACAGCCGAATTCATCCTGTGCAGGGCTCTGTACAGGTTCTAAGAGTTCGGCATGTGCCCACTCGAATCTGGGGCCACTAAGAGCCAGTTTGATCCCTATAGCTGGTTAGAACAACCCTAAGGGCTGCCCAAACTTGTGCCCAGCTGCTCAAGGACTTTATGGACTTTGTGGCAGCTCAGGAATAACTGAGGTACGGGACTGCCCTAGTCACACCCCTCTCACTTGTCAGATGACCAGGAATGCTCCCTCCCCCCCCAATCAGTGGCTCTTGCAAGGGAGAGGAAGGTATAAGTCTGGTGTAGTTAGTTGTGTACCTGTCTAGAGGGGCTCCTGTATCAGGAACAATCCATTCGGGGCCCTGCAACTGCTTTGCAGTCCCTTTGCGACAACATGATTTCTTTAAATGTGTTTTGTAAAGTGTGTGTAGATATAGATATATTTAGATATATTATACTATACAATTTAATCTGTTTATACACATACCTTAATAAAGGACCAGATAGAACAGTTACAGGTTATGTTAACAAGGTAATGTTTTGGCAAGGAGTGGTAAAGTGACCTGCTACATGTCTATCTACCTACCCAGCTAGCACTTTTACTCTGTAAAGTCGTTTTCCTTAAGTTCTTGACTATATTTGGAATTTCTACTGTTTATTGTGGAACAGACTACCAATGGAATTACTTTCATTCAAAGTTTATTCGGAGATTCCTAAGTGTGTGTCTGGTTCTTTCTTTGTTTCATTCTATTCCCTCTTGGTTTGAGTTTCACTGTCAAATAGCATTGTGATATTTCTTAAATGTCTGTGTGATGTGACTTGTGTAACCTTTGTCTTCCTTCCTAGCTGTTTCCATCTATTATTTGTTATCTCATGTCTATAGGTAGAGTGTGAACTCTTTGGTGCATTTACTGTATCATTTTAATTTGTCTGTGAAGCATCTACCACATTTTGGATACTATATAAACATAATAAACCTTCTCCATTCTTTTTTTCCTTTGAATTTTATACGCCACAATCATATATCCTATTAGCTTATTTTCTAATAAATATAAACCTAATTTTTCCGACTTCTTATACAGTAGTTATAACCCTTGGGACCCTTTAGCACTAAGGATGACATCTTCTGTTGCACAGTTCCTCTGCATGTATTTTATGCCAACTATTTGTTTTTAAATAATTTGTTAAACATTTATTTATTGTCCTACAATTCCAAATGTTATAATTTGATCAAGAATTTTTATCTTTTGATGTTCAGTGCCCACCAAATCTTCATAAACAAGATGGATATGCTTGTGATTCTAATCAAGTATGTAACGCTTTTAAACCTTTGCAAATCAATGAATAATGAATCCAGTGTAAATTTTCATTTCTTAACTCACTTTTCTTCCTTATTTTTTCATAAACTCTGTGTCTCAGTTTATTCATCCTAAGGGTTTGTCAAACATCGTGCAGACAAACAGAGCACCTATTAAATTTAAGCATATCATCCATCCCTCTCTCCCTGCAGTTCTTCAATGTTTTGTTCAGCCTTCTGGTGGGCCATTGTATAGACATAGGGACTGATCTAGTCTCTCACTTTCTTGGTTAAAGTTGAGGCATATTGCTTGTAGCAGTGTAAAGAAACTTGCACTGATGTTGCCTGTGCTGTCTGTGCTCTGTTTTTAACATTGAGAATTTCAGTTTAAGTACAGTCAGTTTGGCCCTTTTCAGATCACTTTAAAAAAATTCAGCTTTCTCCTCTGATTTTCTTTGTGGCCAGCAGGCAGTTTGCAGAAAATAGAAATACAAGATTGGTGAGGCTCAGTGGGCACCCAAATGTACAGGTGTATATTTTTATATAATTCTGCAATGATTTACTGGTGTTAGTTCCATTGAAGTTAATAGAAATGAAGGGCGAGTTCTTTCATTAGTTTGCATCTTATGCAGGCCTTTACACCTTGCAAAGTGGATGTATAATTCTGCCACTAGTGTGGGTGAGTGGAAAATCTGATTGGGCAGCATTTTCAACCCACTGTGACTAGTTTAAATGACAACATGAAATGCAGTAGAGAATCAGGCCCCCAGTGTATAAATGTGCTTTCCACTCACCCCTCCCCCTCCCCCCAAGCACATTAAGAGGAGAGTTTATATCCCAATGTATAAAATATAATAATGAAAATGAAAGAGAACTTGTAAAGACAGCTAAAGGACAACATTTGATTTAAAAAAATAAAGTAATATGTTCGGTTTCCCTTCACTAATTTGTTGTGTTTTTGTTTAGGGACGTTGCTATAATGGAGAATGCAAGACAAGAGACAATCAGTGCAAATACATTTGGGGAATTAGTAGGTTGACGTTGCCTACCTTAAATATATTTTATTCATATGTATTTTTTAGTTTGTATTATTACTATTTCCACCTACTGTACTTTCCTCCTTCAGTTAAAAGTTTCCACCGTAGAGCAGAGAAAAAATGTCTGTTGAGATAATGTGGGTGACTTGTGATGTCATTTGGTATTTGGGTCTGTGATATGTTGGAGCCGTGGGAGTCAGGTGGTTATAACTTGCTGTGCTTGTAGATATAGGTAAGATGAGCAGCATCTACTGCAGCTAACCCAGGCTGAAACTCACCAGAAAATATAAAACTAAATTCTACAAGCACGTTAGGTTAATATCTTTGGATAAATATATTTTTGTCTTCAGAATATTTCTTAATATACCTTAATATAAATGTGTGTTTTTAAAAACTAAATCACACAGATAACTATCGATTCCCTCATCTTCAGGGGAGACATGCACTGGATAATGATTTTGAGCATAAGACAGTAGAACTGAACTACCAGTATGTCCCAGTCTGTTGTACTCATGCCATTGTGATGTTTATGTATGCCAGATTCATCCCAACTTAAGTGATTGTGGGGTGTGTGTGGTCTGTGAGAGAGAAAAGAATGTTCCTACCCATTGTGGAGTTAGGAGATTTCTGTCTTTTACTGTCTGTCACAAGCAACAAAAGCTATAGTGCATTTAATACAGAGAAAGATGGGGACAGTAGTTTTAGTGGACTCCTGGTATCTTTCCCTTAGCTCAGTGGCAGTACAGTAAATTTTTTTCTCTAACTCTAAGGTTATATTTTAATTGAAATTATTTAGATTGTCTTTTCTATATAAGTGCCTATGCTGTAACTGATACATTGTATTTAGTTGTTACTTTCTCTGTCATTCTAAATAATGGAGACACTATTTTTTTTTTAATGAAAGAAAGCCTAAAGGGCTTGTTAATGAGTAATTTTATATTAACTCCATGAGTCTGGAAGGATGTTTATTGGTCCACCCCCAAGCACAGAAAAGTCACATCACAGACCAAATTCTGAGAACATCTTTTCAGGCTCTGCCTTTGTTCTCTTTCTACTTTCCTCTCTTTCAACAATTTCCCATTATTGTTTGCTCTGCCTCCTCACAGCCAGCTCGCTGCTCCTGCCTCTTTAGGTAGGTGAGACTCTGAAAAGGTTTATTCTTAGCGCAAGCAGGCTAACGTGTGGAAACCCAAAAAGCCTAAAGAAAAGAAAGGTGGAAAATGTTCTAGATTGAATGTGGCTCTTCTATCCAATCCTACTTTATTAGGAAAGTTAGGACTTCTCTGCTTACACTGAAAAACCGCGAGTTAATCTCAGTTTTATGCTGTTCTCACTTATATTGGTTTTGTATCTGTTTAACTCCATTACTCCTGATTTACACTGGTGTGAGTTGAGAGGAGAATCAGACCCCTTAATTCTTTCCCTGGATACATCGAGAGGCAAACATCTGGTGCTATAGAGAGATAATCTGATTCTACTCTCACACTAGTATAAATCAGGAATAACAGCAGGGAAAACAGTTAAATTGCACCTCTGTAATACTGATGTATGTGTGAACAAAGTTAGACCCCCAGAATATTCAAGTGAAGAAGATATACACCTAGGTAGATGTTGCTTAGACAAATCACCGAGAGAGAGTCTCCAGACTGATATTCAGCTCAGATATTGGAATCTGAGTATAAGGTGGGAAATATTTTCCCTTTTCAGCTGCCTGATAGAATTCTGTCTTTTCTTCTCTCTCCTTCCCCCTCTCGTTGTGTAAACAAAATCTACTCCATAAATTAAAACACAGGATGAAATTTCAAAGTCCTGTGTTTATATTTTCTTGTGGCAGTTCTTTACATATTTTACATTAATTTTATGAAGAGAATACTTGCTGCTGTCAACGTAAAGTACATTCTCTTTTCCCTTTTTCATCGACAGAGGCTACAGGGTCTGACAAATTCTGTTATGAGAAGCTTAATACAGAAGGCACAAAAAAAGGAAACTGTGGAAAGGATGGAGACCAATGGATTCAGTGCAGTAAACAGTAAGTTTAGTTTTGTAGAAACTATCTAAATATTTTGGGTGAAATTGGCCTAATATTTTTCAGATTTTTAATGAACTTTTTCAGCAGTTTGTTTTGCATGGTTTTGAATCCTCCGTTTTTTCTTACAAATTTTCAGAATTCCAAAATATTTCACAGATTGGTTTGCAGAATTCCCAGATGGCTCAAAAATTCACATTTTTGGAATTTCTCACATCTAGATTTTTGTGCAGATGTACTGGCAATTTGGACTTGTGGAGAGAAGTTAAAGCATATAGCAGCACAGTGTCACACATTTGTAATGTACATGCACACAAGGTCAGGCAGGGATGTAAGTGGCCAGAGATATGAATGCTGGTTCCACCTCCAGACGTGGCCCAGGACTCTCTGCTAGATCCTGTGATCTCAGGGTAATTCCACCCCGTAGCCGGGGGCGGGAAGGAAGAGGGGAAACGGCAGTGATAGCTTGGTAGTAGTCTGCTCTCACTGAGTGAGACCATGATCTTCCATCATGTTGGACCTCCTTGTATACAATATGACCAAATATTTGGAAGACACTAGTAGGCCATGGACAACAGTGAGCTCTGACTGATCTGTGGAAGACAGAGGCTCATTCTACCAATTTGCATCTAGAGATGTCCCATAGCTGGTGTCATATGTCATAAGTAGCCATAGTGCCCACGGGATAGAGGCAGTTGATGCAATACTAAACTCTTCCTCTGGCTCGACTACTGGTCCTGGCAGTGTAAGCTCCTCCTCTTTACCTCTCCCTGTTGTCTTGGGCATGTGTTGAACTTCCAAGCAGGGAGCTAGTTGAGAGAGCATATAACTAGAGGTAAAAGACTTATTTGATTTAGCCCTTTTTTTCCAGTTCAGGAATCATTCAGGAGTACTTCAATGTTTATTAATTTATTTACTATTTGTAATTTAATTGATTAAGTGAACAAATTTTGACCTATGGATGGTTTGTGAACTTGTTCACTACAACTATTTGCTATGTGTCACATGATCTATCTGCTCCTTGGTTGGATGACTGAAACTTTAAAAGTAGGAGAATAATGAATGGTGAATACTCTTGTTAATGTGTGAATGAATAGTCATGTGAAGAACAACCATTCCCCCCAAAGTTCATATTTAAAAAAACACACCTAAAAACGTATGCATGAATGTTTGAAAATAGTTGTTAAGAAGGAGCACAAACCTAGTCAGATGAACAGCCACTTGGAATGCACACAGATATTCACATTGTTTTGCAGTATTCATCCAGCTATATGTGCGACTTCAATGCAAAATTTGGACAGTCCATGCAAGGGAAGCCAGCTTGAGGCTAGTAGGCTATTGTGATTTATTTGTTATACAGTGGCAGCAGATAAGCCAGTCTCTTTCCCAAGAATGCAGTAGTGCACCCTGAACTTTACTGATTCTTACAATCATTAGAATTGTACTGTGATGACATGGGGAATAAAATAAAATACAAAATAAGCAAACTGCATCAATATAGAGTAACCAAATTACCTGAAAAAGCACAATGTAATGTAGTCTAGCATAACAAAACTATGCATAGTTTGTCCACCTGTGGGCCCCTTTTAATATTATATTCAAGTATTTTTGTGGAAATAGATTTTTGTTCAGATAAACGTGGGGAAATGCTGCTATTCATAATTAACCAATTGGTAGAATTTTGTTTCTGTTTTTACAATTAACAACATCTGCTGATTATGACTAGCTTCTGCCATCCTTATTCCCCTCAAGTAGTATCTTACTTAGAGTAGTACCACCAAAGTCTTTGGTACTACTCACTGAGTAAGTTATTACTTTATGTGACCAGCAGTGGCAGAAGCTGGTCTTAAGTTATTTATTGCAGTAATATTGTTGGTTCCATACCTTCATTGCTTTTGACACAACAGTTTGTATCTTATAAATATTGTTAGTAGGACTCTATTTGGTAACTTTGTCTTTGTTTTTCTTTCGCAGTGATGTGTTCTGTGGCTTTTTGCTCTGCACTAATCTTACTCGAGTTCCACGAATTGGTCATCTTCAGGGAGAAATTACCCCAACCTCTTTTTACCACCAGGGGCGTGTAGTGGAGTGCAGGTAAAAGACTATACAGCGTACATGAATGGTTTTTCTATCCGTAACCAAAGTGGATGGATTAAAAGCTGGCTAACTGATAAGTCTGAAAATTTAATTATTAAGAGGGCATCATCAAAGGGGCATGTCTCTAGTGGGTCCCACAGGGTTTGGTTCTTGGCCATATGCTATTTAACAATTTTTATTAATGATCTGGAAGAAAAAATAAAGCCGTCACTGATCAAGTTTGCAGATGACACAAAAATTGGGAGAAGGGTTAATAAAGAAGAGGACAGGAAACTGATACAGAGTGATCTGGAGCATTTGGTAAGCTGGGCACAAGCAGTATGAGTTTTAATTTGGCTATATGTACACAATGAGGGACAAAGAACATAGGCCATACTTACACGATGGTGGACTATCTTGAGGATCAATGATTCTGAAAAAGATTTGGGGGTTGTGGGGGATAATCAGCTGAACACAACCTCCCAGTGTGATGCTGTGGCCAAAAGAGCTAATGCAATCCTTGGATGCATAAATAGGGGAATCTCAAGTAGAAGCGGAAAGATTATTTTACCTCTCTGTTTGGTGTGGATGGAATACTGTGTCCTGGTCTGGTGTCTACAATTCAAGAAGGGTGTTGATAAATTGGAGAAGAGTCAAAGAGGAGACACAAAAATGATTAAAAGTTTGGAAAACATGTCTTTATAGTGATAGATTGAGGTCCTTGAGTCTATTTCCCTTAACAAAGAGAAGGTTAAGGTATGACCTGATCAGTCTTCAGGTACTTACAGGGGGAACAAATATTTAATAATAGGCTCTTCAATCTAGTAGAGAAAGGTATAGCATGATCCAGCGGCTGGAAACTGAAGCTAGACAAATTCAGACTGGAAATAAGGTGTAAATTTTTGACAGTGAGGGTGATTAATCACTGGACCAATTTACCAAGGATCATGAAGGGTTCTCTGTCACAGACAATTTTAAAATCAAGATTGGATGTTTTTCTAAATGATATGTTCTAGGAATTACTTTGGGGAAGTTTTATGGCTGAGGGCTGGTCTACACTGAAAAGTTACATCAGCATAGCTACGTCTCTCAGGGGAGTGAAAAATCCACAGCCTTGAGAGATGTAGGTAAATTGACCCTAACCCCCAGTGCAGACAGCGTTATGTCAACAGAATAATTATATAGCAACAGGAGAACTGGCTTACATACAGCAACAGGAGAACCTCTCTCATTGCTGTAGTCTCTACAATGAAGTGCTACCACAGCGCTGCAGCTGTGCTGCTGCAGTGTCTTAAGTGTAGACGTAGCCTGTGCTATCCAGGAAGTCACGCTAGATAATCACAATGGTCCCTTCTGAAATTGGAATTTAGGAAGCTATGAAAAAGATAAAGATAAAAAATTTCAACAGCTACATTTAAAGTTATTAAAGGTAAAAATCACTATTTTAAATGGTATTTCTCCTTTTATTAAAAATCACTGATATTCTCCGTTTAAGGATTGAAAAGCATGTGGATTCACAGATTACCTTCTTGAGACTGGTATCAAACCTTACTGTTCAGCATCACATTGCTCTTCCCTGAAGTTTAAGAATTATAATCCAGAAGAGCGAAAGATCCATATATAAGACGTCCTGGTTTTGAGCAGTACTATCTCAGCAAGAGGAATTATTTGTTTTATATGAATGATTGTGGTAGGAGGAGATCTTTAGTTATCATTTAATTGGTCAGAGGACAGGCACATGTTTTTATTGTCTTGCATGCAGATTACTGGATGGGTGCTTTTAAAAAATTAAATAAAATTTGATTATTAAGAATAGTAAAAGTAACAAAGAATACTCTCTTGTGTATATATACAACCATTCTCCACCAATTTACTCCCTGTTCCCATTTGAGATTAGAGTTTAAGAATGAAACATTTCTCATAAAATATGCATAAATATATATACATTAACTAGTAATATTTTCTAGAAATATCATTCTAAGATATGAAAAAAAGAAAGATGTTCTGTCAGTTATAGACATGTAAACTAAGAGCAAATTAAAATTGCATGTCAATACCTAGAATTCTTCTCCGTGTTATAGCTATTTCATGTCAGTACTACTGTGAGAATTGTGTGATTAATAGAAAAATTTTGATGTGAATTTGTGCATACCATATTCTTTCCTATAGTGTGCTGTGGAGTGAAGAAGTTATAGCACTTTTAACATCCCTACCTTTATTGTGTTTTAATATCTTAAAAAGGCTCTAGCCATAATATTAATAGTATTTTAAAACTTTTTCTCTTAGCGGTGCTCATGTGCTTTTAGATGACGATACAGATTTAGGATATGTGGAAGATGGAGCTCCATGTGGCCCTCACATGATGTGTGTAGACAGGAAGTGCCTACCAATTCAGTCCTTGAACATAAGCAGCTGCCCTATTGGTTCTAATGGAAAAGTCTGTTCAGATCATGGGGTAAGTCCATATCCGCGGGATAGCAGATAAGCTCTGTCCATACTTCCACTATAAACAGGGCCTAATGTACAGTGTTGTGTACTGTACCTAAAATCTTCAGTAAGACTCCTGATTTCCTGAATACACAAGTGTTGGATTTTGTGATATACTTTAATTCTATGACAGCGTGAGAGGCATAGATAACATGAGAAAACAAGGTTTTTAAATGGTGTAACACAATTCACTGTAGTTTTCATGTTAATATTTAGAGAGGGATTTTCAAAAGCACTTCTAGTGGCCTGTGCTCCCACTGAAGTCAATAGTAAAGTCCAGTACTATAAAAACCTCCCTAATGTTTCACCACACATTTCAAACCTCTGAATAATTTCAGTTTGCCACAGAATCCAGTATTAATGCTGCAGAAATTCAGGGTTCTTGCCCTAAAACTTAGAACCAGTATGGCATAGCCAGTGTTCTGGGCTGCTTGAAGAGACTGTGAAAGCCCTACTGTACCATCTGGATGCGAGGTCTTTAGAATGATGGAAGCAGAAATAAGTGGGACAAGGGCATGGGACCTGCGTAGGATTGGAGCAGATCGGAAAGCACCAGCAAAAGGGAATAGAAATAGACATTCAGTGGTGCTCCAGAAAGGCTACTGGAGAAAAGTAAACCACACTGAGCAAGTTCATCTTTCAGGATGGATCATGTTTCACTTTGAATGTATGGGGAAACAAATGAGCAGTATTCAGGATTGTGTCATGATCTGAAGCCTGGTTAACTCCTTTTGGTAAGGTGTCTATACCTCCTTGAAATTGGATTAAGATCCATTGGTGCAAATAACTTTGCTTGTCTATGTCAGGGATTGCACCTGTGCAGCAACACTGATAGCTTGCCACCGCAGGGAATAGCCAAGGAAAATCTCTCATGTAGACAAGACCTGAAAATGGCACCTTCTTACTTGTGCTTCTTGTGTGCATTCATTCATACTTGCTGATTTTGTGTTCAAATATTAAACTACTGGTCCTCACCTCCTTTAGCAACACTATTTTCTTTATTCTCCACAGATTCTTTTTACATGCAGTATACTTCCTCTGAACATAAACCTATATCCCTCTGTTCCAGTTTATTAACCTTAATTTGATAGAATTTAATAGGATACCTCTTATCGCCTCAGACTCTCCCAGATAAATAATCCCAATATTGTGTCATATGTGAGCCTTCCAGTTCCATTTATTGTCTCCATTGCATCGTGCTGGTCAGGAAGCTCCAAAGGTAGTAACCAGCGCTCGATACATTAACAACTCATTTTCCTAGGGCTGTTAATATGTACTCTTAATACAGAACATCAGGCTATTTAATCTTCTTAGCCTTCCTCGCTGCTACATTGTACTCTGGACTGAAAATATGAATTATTGGCCCTCTGCATATGCAGATTGTCTTATTCTGCCTAATTAAAGAAGTCATTACTGTTTAAACCAGGGTTCCCGAACTTCTTTCTTGGAGGTCCATCTGTGCTGCTGCAGTAGGCACTGCAGCCCATTAACACTTCTTGAGGGAAATTGTTAATTTTAATTACATACACTAGAACTGTAAATACAGTGCACATGTGTTCTTTACATTTTAATGTAAACATTTGTAATGATAGAAATTCCTAGCAATATGCACTCAGAGAAATGCATCAAGATCTTTGAAACCAAACACTTTTAAGAAAATGACACTTTTTAAAAAAAATGTTGAGTGAAATGTGGTGTTCAAACAAGGAAAACACAATGTATAAATGTACAGCATATAAAACTGAATAAGCAACACAACAATGTTAACAAAATTGTTAACGTGTTATTTGTTGATTTTAAAACAAAATAGTTGTCCAACTTTAAACACTGTTTTCAAATTTTTTAGTATATCATCTGAATTTCTGTGCTGTGTAAGTAAAGACCCCCGTATTCTCAACTAATTAGAAAAGAATCAAATATTGTAATTAAAAATATAAAATAACACACTGAGGCAATGGGTACTCATCCAATCCAGTAAAGGAGAATCCAAACTTCAAGAACGTGTCATCATATCTTCTTACCACTTTATTATTTTTTTTTTGGCTGGCTCGTTTTGTGTAGATGTAGATGGTCTGGGACGCTCATTATCTTCTCCGCCAGTTTTCAAAAAATAAAATCGATCCATGTCAGATTAAAATACTGCTTGCCATTTTTTATAGTTGTAAATGGCAGTGTTTGTACATTGCTAGGTTACCTTGCAGCAAAACACACCATTGTATGCGCGAGAATTAAACTTGCGTACAGTACTGCAGCTTATTTTTTTAAAATAATTTTTTTCTATACTCTGTCCAACATATATAGCTCAAAACATTACATTGATATAGTTTTTACTTAGATTACACGAGTCACTTGGAGTTAAAGATGTACTAAGACTGAGCTTGACAGGAGAATGCAGTCATGCCGGTAGACCACCCAGCACTGTGTCAAGGTGGGCTGAGGCCACATTTTGGAACCCCTGGTTTAAACTATACTTAGTTTTGACACTATTTCCACCCTAGCACATCAGTTTACACTGAGGGATGTTATGCTTCATAGTCCACCTCTGAGTCTATTTGACTAAGGCTTGGTCTACACTTACCCCCCAATTCAAACTAAGGTACGCAACTTCAGCTACGTGAATAACGTAGCTGAAGTTCTAAGTACCTTAGTTCGAACTTACCTCGGTCCACACGCGGCAGGCAGGCTCCCCTGTCGACGCCGCGGTACTCCTCTCGTCTAGCTGGAATACCGCAGTCGACGGCGATCACTTCCTGGTTCGACTTATCGCATCCAGACAAGACGTGATAAGTCGAACCCAGAACTTCGATTCCCAGCCGCCGAACTAGCGGCTGGATGTAGACATACCCTAAGTTATCAAGTGTCTTAACTACTGATCAAACACTTTGTTTTTCTAGCTAGTTGTGCTTCCCCCACTCCCACCTTTTCTTTCTTTTTTTTTTTTAAACGCAGAGCAGGGTCAACAAGGGATAAGATAGACTGCTATAATTTCTACAGATATGTGCCGTAGAGGACTAGACTCTATATTAGGAAATTGTTTTCTTATTATGGGGAAGATTCATATGGGAAGAGAATCCGTAAAGGGAGACAGACTGAAAGGAGGGTGAATTGGGTTCAGAATGAAGGAGAAAGAGAGAGAGGCACAGAGAACCCGGGCAATATAGGAGTTAAGAAAGGGATCCAGACATTCTCTTGACGACTTTGAATTTTTTTCCACATTCCTATTGTGCCTTTGCTAATTCGAATTTTCGGTTCAACAAACCTTTCTTACAAGTAAGATTAAAGTTATCTTTATCCTTCTTGATAAGCTTCTTTAGTGAACATTAGAGGATGCAGAATGAGATAAAGGTATAAACAAAAATTACATGGCTTATTTACTTTTGATTATCAGCATTGTACCGTCTGTCAACTTGGTTAAGCATTATCTATAGACTATGTAATCTATAGTTTTTATACATTATGTACCAGTTGATTAGGTACCTCTATTGATGACTAACTGCCCTTCTAATCTTGATCAAAATTTCATTCTTTCTATCTTTATCTGCTTTTCCACCACACCTTCCTTCAGTCACTTTCCTCAGCAACTTACTCCATCTCTAATTTCTTTTTACCATCGTCCATTTACAGCCATCATCCACTATTGATTAGTATTTTAAATGTTATGGGTTTGGTAGGAGTTCATATTTATTACAAGTGTAATCTAATTTTTGGTGGGTTTAAGCACACATTTTCACAGAGGTATCCTTCTAAGTGCAGTCTTAAAATGAAACCCTGGCCTATTCTGCTGGAGGATAGACTGACACCACCAACCTGGAAGAATGAAGAAGAAACTGTCAGTTGAAACTCAGAATTCCCCCTCTCTCTTACATTGGAACAAGCTGCCTAAGGAAGTATGAGGCCCAAAGTTTGAAAGTGGTTCTGATTACAATGATCAGTTTGGAAATGGATACATATAACAAGTAACTTAATTTGTGTCCCCCTTTCACAGCTTCATGAAAAGAGCAAATTAATAAGGGCTAGACTGTGGCTTCACCAAATGCCTCATCCACCCAGACCCAAGTTCTCAGTTGCCCATGAATAAAAACAAGGGTTCTTAGAGCTCCCAATACCCCTGCACTGACGAGAGTCCACGGGACAGTTGAGCTCTAATGGAGTCTTCTACACTTGCCATGCTATCTTCTGAGTGTATCTACCTGGGAAATTAAATAAAACTAAGAACTTGATATACCTGTGTCTTGGGGTTTACAGCTCACCACTGTGGCGCCTCCTTGTGGCCGTATCTTGGGATTACCTCTTGACCAGTCTGATGCCTCCTCCTTTGGTTGCTCACCCTGTGTCCCTCCATCTTTCCTCTTGACTTGATTGCTCCCCCTTTGTAACTCAGGGTGCTCCCTCTTCATGGCTTGTCCTTCTGGCCAAGTCACTATAGTTTTTCCCTTCCAGGGTATCAAAGGATCTCTGTATGAACTCTCTCAGGCAGTCCTCCAATTCACTGCCCAGACTGTGCCACTTCCCTACTGGCTGAGAGGGGAACCCAGGCCTGCCCAGTACTCCAGGTTCCAAGGACCTTCGAATCAGCAGTGAAGGTCTGAACCATCCCAAACCTTGTAACCATTTTCCCTGAACCTTTTCCTACTTTACCTCTTTCAGGCTTCCTTCTCCTACACCTCTCTGGGTATGCCCTTTTCTCAGGGCCTGGATCCCCAGGGCTGCTTCTCTCCTGGGTTTTTCCCCTTCTCCTTTTTAAGCCCAAAGACCAACTGGAGGCTTGCACATGGCAGCCCCCTTCTGCCCTCAATGCGTGGCCTTATACCAGCCCCACCTGCTGCTGCTCCTCAGCTTCGCTTGCTCATCAAGCCTAACTCCCCTACGTGTGACCGATCAGTTACTTAACACCTTCTGAGCCACATTCATGTTTTCCGGGCTTGTGTGGGGTGAACATTCCATCCTCACCTGTTAGGTACTGGATACGGTGATGGATTTCTTGAACATTCTAAACAATCATTCTTGTTATGGTATGTGTTTTGGTAAATTTTATCCTGTGTATCTTGTAACTTATTTCTACCATATGCTGAATAACCTTAATCAAAAGTGTTTCAAAAACAGTTATTTTCATTTTCTTTTCTAGGTGTGTAGTAATGAAGCCACTTGCATTTGTAATTTCTCCTGGGCAGGGACAGACTGCAGTATTGATGACCCTATCAGGGATACTCCCAACAAGAAGGATGAAGGACCTAAGGGTTTGTGTGATTTCAGTTGCAATATTTAGTACACGTTTAGATTAGTCTTCTCTATTAGCACCAGTAGAATTAACATGTGGGAAAGGAAGGTATAACCCTATCATTCAGAATCAAACCCTTGAGAATATTAAAACTATGCCTCTCCGAGAAGATACATGCATGTTAGTTTGAAGACTGTTTGTGAATATACTTTGACTTTTATAATTCCAGATCCCATTTCTAGAAAGATATGAACCCAGACATTTCGGTTCATCCCAATTTTCCCCCTTTATTCTGTCCTTTAATAGCCATCTTCATAATTAAAAC